CACACATCAGTGTCAATGACTAATATTGCATAGTTATGCAAGTTTTTCAGATTTGTGTTCCAGCTTTGAACTGTGTATATTCTTTTGTGCCTTGCTCTTTTGCTCAATATTATAGTTGAAATTCAGACATCTATGTAGCTGTATCATCATCCATTGTGTGAAAATTCTAAAGTGTATTTGTTCATTTTCCTGTGAAAAAACATTTGAGCAGTTTTTAGTTTTCACTATTACCAATAATATGTCTATACACATTTATATATGTATCTCCTGACACACATATGCAAATGTTCCTCTAAGATATGTACCTATGAGTGGAATTCCTCAGTTATAGGTATATACAATTTAATATACTTTGGCAGTTGTTGCTAAATTGTTATCCAAAATTATTTCAAATGCTTATCCTTCATTCATCTTGTTAATTTATCTTGTTACTTCATGTCCTCCACAATCTTTGATGTCATTGGACATTTTAATTTTTACTAATTTGGTGTAAGATATTTCATAGTGATTTTCATTTTTATTTCTTTGGTTACTAATTTTATCTAGCTTATTTTTATATACTGATTTACCCCAGGTGTTCCCTTTTTGTAAAAATTCCTTAGCCTTTTGCATACATATTTTTAACTATGCTGAGTCTTCTTAACTGTTTTAAGTAATTCTTTGGCTGTGAATCCATTGTCAGTACCATATGTTACAGTGTTTCCTCCAAGTTTGTGACCTAACATTTCATTCTTTAAGGTGTTTATTGATGAATGGAAATATTTACTGTTATTGTAATTGAACTTACCAATCTTATCTTCATGGATTCACTTTTGCCTTTGAAGGAAAAAAAAAAAAACTTCCCTGAAATCATAAAGGCAATCTGCTTTATTTTCTTCTAAATGCTTTAAAGGTTGGTGTTTTGTTTTTAAATGTTCACTTCTCCAGAAATTGATTTTCTGTGTTTTGTGCAAGTGGAGATATAGTTAGGCCACATAACAATTTATTTTTAAGTTTGGATTTCAAACTTTCAAATGAGTATGATTTTTCAAGTCACAGTGATATCAATCATTATACATTTTCCTCTCAGTTTGCTCAAATTGGTATCTTGATATGTTTCAGAAATATTATTCTCAAAGTATGTTACAAATTCAAATAATTCATTCTGAACAATACTAGAGCTTCTCATTTGAATGAGAAAAGATTATTCCAGCTGTGGCAATAGCATTTTAAACTTGACTGAGAAAATACCTTGAAAAAAATATCTTGGAAAAAATTCTTTTAAAAGATGTTGATAATTTTATTCCCAGAAATTTAAAGGAGAAATCAATGATTGATTCTAACATTTTAGTTTTCGAGAAACTATCTCAGGGTGAGATTTTCTTTTGACAAATCTAAACTTTTGATGTACACTACTCATTGTTAATTACATGGTAGTACACTATTCAGTGTTAATTACATGGTGGTAGTGTAATTTTGATTCAAGTTGTTATTTTTTGTGTGTATGTGATATAATGCAGTGTGCAATCAAGCTAATAGAACTCTGCAATTATATTATTGAGAGCATAAGTCATCTTTTAGTAAGGCTGTCATCATCTAGAGAAGTTTCATTTCATTCCCTTTATTGAAAAAGTCCTTATGCTTAAGTTTTTAACTATAAGACAATTTCTTATTGTGTCATTAACCTTTCTTCCTTAATCATGTTGTTCATTTATGCCACAGATTTTTATTGAAAACCTGTATTTTGCAAAATAGTCTGTGTTCAACTATTTGAGCATAACTCTCAAAATTCAGAGATTGAAAGAACTTCAGAATCATTGATAGTATCCCTAACTTTGCACAAATAAAATTAAGAAACTAAGGTTCAGAAAGAATTAATCCCCTGAACAAAATCTCAGTTGACAGAGCAGAAATCAAGATCTCCTAACCCTGGATTCACTGTTCCTCCTGTTAAATCATGATGTCCATAAAACTATCTGAAAATGCACCTGAATCCTAAATAGTGATCTAATGCTTATAGAAATTCCTAAGGTGATAAAGCACTTCGTGAACAAATTATCTTACGTAGACCTTGTTTCAGTGAACTTACAAGAATTTTAGGACGAAAAGACACATTTGGAAAAAATAGAGTACTGAAAAGTGTAATTAATAGCTTCCTAAGGAAGGAATCATGTGCTATCTTTGTATTTGTTTTATTTCCCTAACACAGTGAACTATTTGTAGTACATACTTAACAAATATTGATCAGATGAATAAAACAATATATTGAAATATAAGATGCAAGCATTAGTGACAATAGAAAACAAAAATCAACCTGAATGTGGAAATTTTTAAAAGAGCCTTTATGGGAGATTTAGAACTTAAAGTGAACCTTAACCAATGTTGGGAATTTTACTGGACTAAGAGGAACTTTAAGTTTCATACAACCTGTAAGGTCACTTTCTATTAAGACTTTAGATACAGGTTTTCTAGTTACTTGTTTGAAAACATGAATTCTAAATATGAATTATTTGGAATAAGCATATTTGTGAGAAAATAATAGGATAAAATGCTAAGATATATGTATAAAGATATATTAGTTGTGTTGTTTATAAAAAGTGTGGAAAAATAAACCAACTCAGATATAGATCAGTGAATTAACGGTTAGAGTATTCAAATTAAAATTAATGATGGGTATAGATCTATATTTTTCAAGATATAGGTATTACTGAGATATAAAATAGAAGCATCATGCTGTAAAATTATATGGGGAAAATTATTCCATTTTGTAAAAAGCTATAAAAGTACAAATAATGTAAATTCAGATAATAGTTGTTTTTATATTCTGGTTTTCAGAATTTATAAGAAGTCTTAGAATAAGCATGTATTACTTTAATAATGGTTTAAACTTGGGGGGGGGTTGCTCTTAAATTTACTCTTAAATTACTCTTTTCACTTACCCTAGATGGGAAAGAACAATGATCTCCACTTATTGAACCATTTTTATTGAGCACCTATTATATACTAGTCATTAAGAACAAAAGAACGAAAATCTACTTCTTAAGCACCTCATGACTTTAGGAGATGAGAATCATAAATGGAGTGCCAAGAATTAATTTTCTTAGACTTATAACTTCAGAAGTCTTTTGTCTTGTGATTCTTTTTAAAACTAAATAAAAAGCATTTCTGTAAGATAAAACAAATGAATAGGTCTCTCTATTCTGATTGTAAAGTATCTAGACTATCAACAAAAGTACAGAGGTTTTTCCATGTCTGACTTTTTCATTAAAATCATTCAATTCTCAATTTTGCCTTGAAGGAGAAAAAGCAACTCCAAAACATTTAGGGTCAGAGAAAAATGTTGAATGTGTTTTGAATTGACATTGAAAACTTATAAATGTAACAATTATCCTTTTGTTCCATATGCTATCATTTTCTCCTATGGAATATATTGTTAGATGTTTAATTACATGTTGCAATAATTAGGTCATTTTTATTGTTAATTTTAACATCGAAGCCCCTAGAAGGTAGTACTTGTCATCTTCACAATGCATTAATGCCTAGCACCTTGGCATTCCTGTGAGGCTAATGTTGTACGAACTTGGTTTACTCAGGATAAGACAGAACATGTCTCACATCTAGTGACAGCCAACCATGGTTCATTGTATGCATATGCTCAGGAAGCCAAGGACCCTGTGATAGATTCATTTTTAATAATAAAACTAAGTGTAGGTTTTTTTAAATACTCGTAATCTAGACACATACCTGATGTTTGTTTTGTTTTGTTTTTTAAATTAAAGGAGATATTCACAGGAGCTTCTGTGTAGTTTATGTACTTTTAGCAGCTAATAATGATATCTTCCAAATATTTTGTGGGAATTCACAAGCATTTTTTTTACATTCCCTCTTTTAATCTTGGTCATCTCTGAGGCAGAATGATGATCTTGGTGTTAAAGGTGAGAGAGTAGAATTCCAGTTAGGTTTAGATGGCGCACTTTAAGTCACGTAGGAAATAGTCAGATTCAAATCTATATGCTCTGATGTCAAGTCCCATTCTCTTAAGGCTATTCCCAGCTGCTGTAACTCCTCCTGCCTTTGATGCTGGAAGTATGGCAGTGCTCCTGATTATTACTGGGTTACTCAATCTAATCATCAATGTCTCTAAAGCTACCTCTCTTTGTCGATATTAAGCTTGTTTAATTTAGGCTCCATAGAGAAACACTGACAAGGTTTATACAAGGGTATAAACATATGTTCCTAAGCTGTATTTCTGATTGAGCTCAGTTACCCTCCAGTTCACCCTTTCCAAGACCAATCAATAGTCAGCGATCTTCCTTTTTATCCTAGGACTCAAAGAAAACATTTACATAAATATAGAGCCAGTCTGTAGGTGGAGTAAATGCAGCGCTGAAATTGAATAAAATTTCATTTGCTAAATGAAGATATATAGATTCAATGGATGAATATGAACCAACAGCATTTCATCAACTACCAAAATGTCAAGTCAGATAGCCACTAAAGGACATTAATGTAATCAGAATTTTCTGCTTTTGAGATTAAAAAGCTTATTAATAGGTGAAATTTAAGGGAAATGGGAGCATTAACAAAATGGCTTGCGGACACCTCTGTGTCTTCACATAAAAATACTGAGGTCATATGAGATGTTTTATTTCTTGACCTTAATTATGAGTGGTGTGGTAGGCTCTTGATTTTTTTGTTAGCTTTAAAATAGAAATAGATTAATCCTAAAGCAGTTAAAGAAATTAAGTTCTCTTGATCTCTTTTTTTATTAAGAACTGGGGTACAGGCCAGAGGTGTGGGGGACAAGGACTCACCAGAGATGGAGTAGAGAACAGAACAGGCAGATTGACTGAAATACACTGCTCTTGATCTCTTTCTTTATGATAATGCAGCATAGGTAATAAATCTCTAAAATTCTGAAAACAGGATTAACTTTTATTTTACTTAAGTATCTCCTAATTTTCTTTTACTCCATATGGAATTTTTAAATAAAATTATCTTGATTTTCTTTTTTACTCTAGGGTTGATCCTCCACTACCTGAAACATTGAAAATGCACAGCTCAGCTGAAAACATGTCTTTGGAAACTCTAAGAAACACCAGTACAGAAGACCTCTTTGATGAGATTTAACTGTCTTGAAAATATACTTTGATGTTCACTGGACTGTGTTTTCTATTCTTTCTTTAAACTGAAAAAGCAAATGTTCAAGTCAGCAGCAGCTATTACTGCACCTTACAATTTAATTACATATACACTGAGTTGAAACCATTGTGTAAAATGGATTACATATGTATATGAAGATAGGATTTGATGACAGTGGTACATTATTCTAAACTATTCATTCAGCCTGCCTATAATTACATAAAATCTCAGACTTTTTGTTGCAAAGGACACATCTTAATCAGTTCACACATATTATAGGTGGTAGTTGTCTAACATCCTGTCTGGGAAGATTTTGGAAATAGGACAAAGAAAATGTTCTTTTTTAGTCATATTCTGAACAATGAATGAGGTTTAAGCAGTTTAATTGGGGGAATGGTATATAAAATCTATTTCTAGTTTGTACACAAACATCCTGAAAATCTGATCATAAAATTTTGATGCTTTAAGTGAAGAGTTTGTGTGCTTATTAAAATGTATTTATTTTTTCTTTTTCCTTTTTCCTTTGCTATAGTAACAGGTCTTTGCAAAGTATTTATTATTGTAAACATAGTGCCCTTTGTGTCAAAAGGCATATTTTTCAGAATTATCAATAAAATGTTTATCTTACATATACAAATGCCCTTCTTGAAGATGAGGGCCTTGTCATATTTGCTTAGATATCATTAATAACATGTGGCACCGTTTTTCTTAATATTCACCATTTCTACTTCCTAACCTCTAACACTTCTCTCCAGTTAAACATCCATTTCCTCCATGCTGCTCAGAGTTAACAATGACCACCATGTTTCAAAGGCCAATCATTACTCCATTCCCAGTCCTCATTTTTCTAAGCCTCTCAGCAACTTTTGTCAGTCACTTCTTAGTAAACATTTTCTTCACTTGACATTTGGAATCACATGTGCTCTATGTCTGGTCACTTATTTTTCAGGTGTATTAACTGAGTCCTTCTCTTTTGCCTAATAGTTAAATATTTGAGTAACTCCAACCTCCTCCTTTCATGCCCACATTGTCTTCTTGGGTTATCTGTGGCTTTAAATACTACCTCCATACTAATAAGTCCAAAATGAGTTCTCTTTTTATAGTCAACTATATATAGGCAGAACCCTGCTCCCCTCCCCCGCCCACAGAGGCGGCACTCTCCGACCGGCAGAGAGGAGGAAACAACAAACCAAAACGGCCCACAAGAACAAACGACGCAGCAAGCAGGACTGGGAGTGGAAAGGAACTATTGCAGCCACCACACCCCGTGAACGGGAGCTGAGGCGAACCCTGCAGGATCCGCCGCGGTGGTGAGCGAACGGCTCCGGGCGCCATTAGAGAAGAACAAAGACCCCGGGAGACGCGCACACAGCCCGGGCTGCCGGTAAGCTGGCGCGGGAAAGCGGCTCGCTCGGGGAGCTTGAAAAGCAAGTGCAGACCTGGATCGCGGCTGCCCAGGTCCCCGCGCCTGCAACCTAGGCTTGCGGGGAGACGCGCGGAGGTCCTCACTGAGGTGAAGGTCCCTCCCTGAGTGAGCAGGAACCAGGCGCCCAGGCACAGGAGCAGTGCAAAAGGCGCCATTCCCGCGCCACTGATCTGGGCTACAGCCCGCGTCCTGGAACTGAGGGCTTTAAACTGAGACCCGGGGCACGAAAATTCGGGGCGTGGTTTCTCCACCACGGTGGGGCACAAGGCAGACACAGCACCCCAAAGCTGTTGAGGTGTACCCTACCATTCCCGCTCTGTTCTCTGTCCCACGGGGTGGGGGGAGGCGAAAAACAGCCCCCCAAGGCCAATAGGAGAGATCTCTGGCGCACCTAGCGACCAGGAAAAAAAAAGTCACTAACACCCTATAAAACAGGACATTTCTTAAGACTGCTTGAAAAGGGCAGAAGGTTTCTGGAGGACCCAGTGGCCAGCCGGGAAGTTATTCCACGCCAGGCCCCTTCCCAGCAGTCTGACCCACAGAGGGAGCAGGCACCCACGTCCGGGGCAGACCGGGGGCGCAGAAGAGTGTGCCTGAAACCTGAGGCGCAGGTTTCAGGACTGCATCCCGCTTCGCCATTTGAGAACAGGGACATTTCTTCAGTAAAAACTGCCTAAAACCAGCAGAAAGCTCCCCCAGAAGACAGAGATGGCTCCTGGAAGAGCCAGAGGGGAGCGGAGAAGTTCACCCAAGATGTCAGTCAGTCCGAGCAACACAGTGTCCCAACGCATACGACAAATTAGAAAACAGACAGTAGGGAGTAGAAGAACCACACGCAACCTAACAACTCCTCAGGAAAGAAGCACACCACAAAAAGAAAACCACTCCCCAGATTGCAACGACAGCAACTTGGAAGAACTTCTGAGCCTTCCAGAAAGAGAATTTAAAATTGCCATGATTAAAAAATGATAGATCAGAAAAAGGAATTGAGTCCCTAAAGAGGGAAGTAAGAGAAATGCAGGAGATCAAAGAATAAAGGAACTAAAGAACTCTGGGAAAAGCAATGAAAGCAGAATAGATGAAATGGAAGAACGAATAAGTAATCTTGAAGACACAGAAATAAAAGAACCAAAACAGAAAAGAAAGAGAAGTACGAAGGAAAAAGAATGAAGAAAGACTTCGGGAACTATCTGACTCCATGAGGAAAGGAATATAAGAGTTATAGGATTCCAGAAGAGAGAGAGAGATGTACAGAGAAAAATATTCATGGATATAATTGAAGAGAACTTCCCAAATGAGAAGAAGGAGCTGAAATTGATATACAAGCAAGAAGAACACCAAACTTCCACGACGAAAGGAAAAAACACAGCAAGACACATAATAGTAAAGCTCCCAAGAATCCAGGACAAGGAAAAAATAATGAAGCTGACAAGAGGGAAGAAACAGATAACATTCAAAGGAAAACCAATCAGGCTGACATCAGACTTCTCTGAAGAAACACTACGGGCAAGGAGAGAGTGGGACATAGTCAACAGACTCAAGAAAACAGATGCCAACCAAGAATACTCTATCCCGCAAAGCTCTCTTTCCTCCATGAAGAAAGAATATGGACCTTCCCAGACAAAGAGAAACTCCGGAATTTCATTACGAATAAACCCCCACTCCAAAAAATACTACAAGGAATCCTAAAGCCAGAACCTCAGAGGGACGAATAACAACGAAAGAAGACCAAAAAAAAAAAAAAAGTTATTAAAAGAATAAATAAAATCAAAGGAAAGACAAACATAATGGCAAATACAGATGCTAACATATCAATATTAACTCTAAATGTAAATGGACTAAACTCTTCAATAAAAAGACACAGAGTTGCAGCCTGGATTAAGAAACAAAACCCAACCTTTTGCTGTCTCCAGGAAACACATTTAGCTACAAAAGATAAAAATAGGCTCAAAGTCAAAGGATAACAATCCTACAAGCAAATGGGCCAAAAAAGAAGCAGGAACAGCTATACTTATATCAGATAAAACAGACTTCAAACTCAAAAAAAAGACCCCAATGGTCACTACATTATGATTAAGGGGACAATACTTCAAGAAGAAATAACACTCATTAACATATACTCACCAAACGAAAGAGCACCAAAATATATCAGACAACTGTTGTCCTCTCTGAAAACAGACATCAGAGAAAACACATATGTAGTGGGAGACTTCAACACACCACTATCAACAATGGATAGATCAACAAGACAAAAAATAAGTAAAGAAACTCTCTAAATAAGGACCTAGAGCATTTGGGCTTAACAGACATCTATAGAACACTAAACCCAAAAAAAACGGAGTACACATTTTTCTCAAGCGCACACGGATCATTCTCCAGGATCGATCACATACTGGGGCACAAGACAAACATCAACAGATACACCAAGATTGAAATCATACCAACCATCTTTTCTGACCACGAAGGCATCAAACTAGAAATAAATCATAAAAAGAAGGCAAGGAACTATCCTACCTCATGGAGATTAAAAGCCACACTACTGGAAGACCACTGGACTAACGAGGAGATCAAAGAAGAAATTAAAAAATTCTTTGAAATGAAGGAGGACACCAATATCCTATGGGATGCAGCAAAAAGCTAATAAATATATAGCAATAGAAGCTCACATCAAAAAACAAGAAAGAACTCAAGAAACCTAATCTCGAAGCTCAAGATCAAAGAAAGAAAAAAAAAAAACCCCAGAACCAGTAGAAGAAAAGAAATAATAAAAACAAAGCAGAAATAAATGAAATTGAAACTAAAAAAACAATCCAAAAGATCAATGAAACCAAGAGCTGGTTCTTTGAAAAAATAAATAAAATAGACAAACCCCTAGCCAGGCTCACAAAGGAAAAAAGGAAAAGCACAATACACAGAATCATAAATGAAAGAGGAGAAATCACAACGGACACAGCAGAAATCAAAAGAATAATCAGTAACTACTATGAACAGTTATATGGAAACAAGTTCAACAATCTAGAGGAGATGGACAAATTCCTACAACTCTACAATCACCCAAAGCTAGATAAAGAAGAAATAGAAGACCTAAACAGACCAATTACAAGCAGCGAAATTGAAATGGTAATTAAAAACCTCCCCAAAAACAAAAGCCCAGGACCTGATGGATTTACAAATGAATTCTACCAAACATTCAGAGACGAATTAGTGCCTATCCTTCACAAACTCTTCCAAAAAATTGAGAAGGAAGGGACAATACCAAACACGTTCTATGAAGCCAATATTACACTAATACCAAAACCGAATAAGGACAACACAAAAAAGGAAAACTATAGGCCAATCTCCCTAATGAACACTGATGCAAAAATCCTCAATAAATTTTAGCTATCAGAATCCAACAATGTATCCATAAGATAATTCACCACGACCAAGTTGGATTCATTCCAGGGGCACAAGGATGGTTTAACATCCGAAAATCAATCAACGTTATCCAACACATCAACAAAAGAAATATAAAAACCATATGATAATATCAATAGATGCTGAGAAAGCTTTCGACAAAGTGCAACACCCATTCATGATAAAAGCCCTTGAAATTCTTGGGATACAAGGAACATACCTCAACATCATAAGGCCATCTATGACAAGCCAACAGCCAGTATCATTCTCAAAAAGCTGAAAGCAATTCCATTAAGATCTGGAACAAGACAAGGATGTCCACTCTCACCACTGCTTTCAATATAATACTGGAAGTCCTAGCCAGAGCAATAAGACAAGAGAAAGACATCCAAGGAATCCAAATAGGAAAAGAAGAAGTCAAACTATCACTATTTGCAGATGATATGATAATATACATAGAGAACCCCAAAATCTCCACAGAAAAACTAATTCAACTCATCAATCAATTCAGTAAAGTGGCAGGATACAAAATCAACACGCAAAAGTCAGTAGCCTTCCTATACACAAACAATAAATCTGAAGAAGAAGAAATCAAAAAAACCACCCCTTTTATTATCGAAACAAAAAAAATCAAATATTTGGGAATAAATCTAACAAAAGAGGTAAAGGACCTATACAAAGAAAACTATAAAACACTGTTAAAAGAAATAGAAGAAGACACAAAGAAATGGAAAGACATCCCCTGCTCATGGATTGGAAGAATAAACATTATTAAAATGGCCATCCTACCAAAAGCAATATACAGATTCAATGGTATTCCAATCAAAATCTCAATGGCATTCTTCAAAGAAATAGAACAATTATTGATGAAATTCATATGGAATCACCAAAAACCCCGAATAGCCAAAGCTCTACTGAAAAAAAAGAAGGAAATGGAGGCATCACACTCCCAGACTTCAAACTATACTACAAAGCCATAATCATCAAAACTGCATGGTATTGGAACAAGAACAGACATACAGACCAATGGAATCGAATAGAAAATCCAGAAATAAACCCACAGATTTATGGTCAACT